AGGATTCAACTCTATACATGTAACAACATTTTTGCAGGTAGAAGCTTTCTACCCTTGAGTTCGGTAGTTATACAAATGAACTTGCTTAGAAGAGACTGGCTTTTACTCCAGTTATCATAAAGGACTTGGGAAGATCCATAAGTAATTAATTCCAAAACAGTGCATATCAGTAAGTTGTTTACAATAAACTATGTTTGTACTACAGGACACACAGAATAAACAGGTATTATTTCCACAATAGTAGTAAACTTTAAATGAAGTTGACATAATTAGTTAATTAATTAATGCATTAATAATTGCATTAATGCAAAAATTTTCCATAAGTTACCTCCCTCTTAGAAAACTGCACTGAAATTCTTTTTCCCAAACTGAAGATGTCTCTGATTTTGTTTCAATAATTAATAGAATAAGAGCTAGGTCTCTCAATCAGTTGTACCTCTACCCAACTATTCTTATGTCATTTTTAAACATTTAAGGACCTTATTCCATACAGACATATATCTAGTAACAGGCAGATGACTGGGCCAATACCCATTTATTAAGTTACTGAAGATGTAGAAAGGAATGTAATCTTAGATTGAATAGCTTAGATCTAAAAGATACATTTTAATATAGTAGCTCAGATGTGTCCCAGCCTTAGTTATAATTATTCAACATTGTGTTTGTACCTTTGTTTCATAAACTTTTTTCCTTTGTCTAATTATTCCCATATCATTCAGAAAGAATGTTCTATTCCAGGGATTTAATCTTTCACATGACTATGCAGGAGTATTAATTTACCCAATTGTTTGGGATACTGGATGACTACACATTCAGATTGAAAACAGCAAGATTTCACATACTTGCATTGTACTCACATCTTTTACTGACCACTTGCTTTGATTACAGAAATTTGCCATAAAAAGGAAAGGCAAGGACATGATTAGATAAAACATCAGTTTTCCAGCCATGTGGTATCAATTCTACCTCATAGCCAGATTCAGGAGTAGTCAGGTGGGAAACATTACTTTTCAAAGGAACATGATGGGGAAACTGAGCCAGGAGGATCCCATCTGAGGCTGAGGCTAAGACAGTCCTCTCTGCTTTTCCAGCTACAAACCTCCACCTGTAACAGTCATTTTCTCTCTGAGTAGCTTGTGGCATATGTCTCAGATGGTGGATTATTGACAATTGATTATTGATGGATTTTTATGATCCATCAGACAATTCAAAACACAATTCATTATGGTCCCATGGGTTTTTGTCTCAGATGGCAAGTTTCACTAATCAAAAATTTGCCAGGACTCACATCTCAAATGTAAACTTGTCCATATGCAAAAGCCAATCACTAGAGATCATTTCTATATACTAGCAAATTCTCAGCAAGCCATATTCCTTGTTTAGGAACTCCGTAATCCAAACAAGCTCTCTGGCAAATTTACAAAAGTAAGAAGCATCAACAAGGATCCCAGAAAAGGGGGGACTTATCCACCCCATCTACCTTTAGAATTTCTCTGGGCTGTGCTTTTTGACTAACCCTGAGGACTGCTCTTTTCTAACACACACAGACACACACACATACACACACACACACACACACACACACACAGAGTAATCAATTACCAGCTTTAGGTTGTAGCATTAAAACCATAACCAACAATCTCACAATTTTCATAAGTGATAACGGAAGTGTTTTAGCTGTAACACAAACAACAAACTTCAGACAACAATAATTGCATTTCCAGATCACATAAAAATTGTTGATAGAAGGATGGGCTGGCTTACCAAGTGCAGATGCAGACTGACTGGCTTCTTTACCTTGACCCATCCCCTTTCACTCTCTCCACACAGCTGTGTGTGGGAAGGGACTTCCCGCCTGTAGCTGCTGCCCCTCCCCCTCCTTCCTTTCCCCAGGTGGGGGAAAGGGTGAAACTCTCTTTTCCTAGTCTGATGTGGGATGAGAGGGGTTAACAGAAAAGTTCCAAGGCTGTTTGCAGTCTCCACTGAGATACTCTCTTGACTCATGGGAAAGGATTGGAGGAAGGGAGTGACCAGGGCTGTAAGGAGGTGTTTCAAAACTCCTTAATGATCAAACTCAAAACTTCCAGAAACTGCTAAGAAGTTTTAGCTTTCCTAACTTTTTCATTTCTATGTCCACCCCTTAAAAACTTAGAGTGGGGGAAGCTAAATGGCACAGTAGATAGAGCTCTGGCCTTGGAGTCAGGAATTCAAATCCAGCCTCAGACACTTGAAACTTACTAGCTGTGTGACCCTGGGCAAATCACTTGACCCTGATCACCTCACCAAAAAAAAAAAAAAAAGACTTATCACATAAGCCTCAAGCATTCCAGTTCTCCATTCCCATCCTCCCAGGAATTTTGAGCTGCATGTACTAGAAAATGAGACCTCGAAAACAGCAATCCCCAAAGAAAACCGACCTCAAAGGCCTACAGGGCATGGAGACCCTGAAACAGGGAAACCAATTATCTTACTAAGCTTGTCTTGTTTAGAAATCCCCTTTACAAATCATTTTTCTAGATTACATTGAGGTCAGGCTGTGTTACAATGGAACACCAGGCACTTTTCTTTAAGATCTCCTTCCCTGAATTTCCCATCCTAGCAGCCTCTCGCTTGTCTTAGCATCCTAAGACCCTTGAGAGGAAAAAATGTGACTGACCAAGCCCTTATATGAGGGTCAACAGTCCGATGGTCAGTGGAGTGTCAGATGCTACTGGCAGTGTCTGAGTGCTCCTGGGGTCTTTCACCCAGGGAGACAGTGGGAGCAGAAAAGATCTGGTGAAGAGAGCAAAGAAAAGGGCGATTACCTGTTATCCCAGTGGCCAGGAGATCAGCACAATCCAATTAATATTTGGATTCCTGGGTTTCAACACCATTTTATGTTGAGGTTTAGAGTTGGGAGAGCTGGTTCAGGTGTGAGAGAATTCACTTAGACCTTCTCTGTAAGTATTGGGAGCTTTATTGATGCAAAAACAGGGGGCTAGCCATGGAAAGAGGACCAGCAACCTAAAGAGGGACAGGGACAGTTTTATAAGGACAGGATGAGGAAGGTGGTTGCTTACAAGACAGTTTTAGAAGTTTTATGGGGCATCCTCAGAGAAAGAACTGATCGTGTCTGAATACAGATTGAAACACACTTTTTTAACTTCTATTTTTCTTGAGGTTTTTTTTTGTCTGTGTTTTCCTTCACAACATGACTTATGGATATATTTTGCTTGACTGCACATGTATAACCTATATCAAATTACTTGCCTTCTCAATGGGGAAGGGGAAGGAAGGGAGAGATTTGGAACTCAAAGTTTTAAAAATGAATGTCTAAAATGGTTTTTATATGTAACTGGGGAAAAATAAAATACTAAATACAAAAAAGTTTTATGGGGGTTAAAGATTAGAGACAGGTGAAGAAAGGATTTTATGACAGGATGAGGGAGACAAGGGAATTCTTTATGGTTTACAGGGTATGAGGGCACAGGTTAAATTTTTTATTTTGGCAAATGGGGTTAAGTGACTTACCCAGGGTCATACAGCTTGTAGGTGTCAAGTGTTTGGTCTGAGGTTGGATTTGAACTCAGGTCCTCCTGACTTCAGGGCCAGTGCTCTATCCAAGCACAGGTTAAAAAATTAAAGGACAGGGGAACATAGGCTATGAGACATAAAAGCAATTCTTTTGGTACCACTTCAAGATAAGAGTGAAAGGACTTTAAGACACCTTTCAAGTTACAGAATAAACTGGGGTTTCACAAAGTACTGGAAAAGCAACTTTAATATTCTCTTAACCCTTAGGGCACTGTATGTCTTTTGCTTCACAGGGAGAGACTGAGCAGGGAGGCCCCAGGGGCCTGGCACCACAGCCAGGCCTCTGCAGTTCATGGGCAGACCTGCATTTTAGAAAAATCACTTTGGTGACTGAGTGGATGGCCTGGAGTGGGGAGAGACTTGAGGCAGGGACATCCCCCCAAAGGGAAATTGCCATAGTCTAGGAGGGAGGTGATGATGGGGGCCTGCTCTAGGGCAGTGACAGGGTCAGAGGAGAGAAGGGAGGAAGGGACAGTGCCCCAAATGACAGCCCACCTCTTTGGAGGCTCTTATCCACAATCTCACCTGGCCCTAGCCAAGCTGCCTAAGAAAAGTCTCATGAGGCATCGAGGTCACAAACCAGGCACAGAGGAACCAGATAACAGTGATGGGGAACCTCAGTTATCCAGACACCCACTGGAGCTCTCAAGCTAAACTTATTGACTTGCCTCCACGATCCTTTTGTCCTTCAAAAGGTGACAGTGCCAACAAGGGGAATCCTGTTGTGATCTGATTTTTACTAACAGGAAAGGGAAATGGTGACTGACCTGCACAACAGGTTTTGGGAGAGCAGATTGCAGAAGGGTCAGAGGAACCGACTTCCCAAGGAAAGGCAGCCCAGCAGGGATGGGAGACCCCTGAAATAACCAAATGCTGAGGAAACAAAGAGAAACAATTCAAATGGGGAGGAAAAATGAGATTTATCTGAAAAGTCCAATGTGTGGCTGCATAGGGAACTCATTAACCAATTTAGGTTTTTAAAAGAAATGTACAGAAGATGGAAACAAAGCCAGGTAACAAAGATGAGTGGATGAATGAAAGAATGAATGAACAGATGGACGGATGGATGGATGCATGAATGAACTAATGAATGGGAAAAATGAATGGATAGAAGGATAAAGGGATGAATGAACAAATGAATGAATAAATGAAGCATTGAGTAAATAAATATATAATATCTACAAAGAACTGTGCTAAGTGATGAGGATGCAACAGAAAAGCAGGATGGTCCCTGTTCTCAAGGAGCTCCCATTCTAATTGAAGGTGGGGAGACAACCTCCCCCCTCCCCACATACACACATCGATGAAGTTTCAACTTTAAGTCCTGTGGAAAGTCCCCATGGTCCTTAGGGCTCAGTAGAAGGGCAGAGTTCTTTAACATCTTTTGTGTCACTTCCTTTGTTAAAACCACAATCATTTCTGATGTTGAATTACTGTATACTGATACAGTACCAAGATACCAAGAACTTTCTTCTTGGCATTTTCAGTTGCTGTGGCTGCTGAAGAGCTGAGGATCTGCAGCGCCAACGGAGGCTGTTCCTATCTCCAAAAAGGCTGCTTCCCTGGACAATGGCTGCTGGTGGAGGGTGAGCTTGGTTGGAAAGAGGGTAATCCAGGAGGTACTGCTGTTCCCAGGGCTCTTGGGTGCAGGGACCAGGGCCATTTATATCAGGGTCTGAGGGGAGGTGGTAGTCAAGGTGGTGGCAGGGTTTAGAATATCTGGAATATGCCTCTTGTCTCACCTTTAGAGCCCCTTCATCTAGGCTGACTTTTTTGCACAAGTGGTGACAGTTGGTCAGCCATTGGTATCATTGCTGGTGGGTGTAGCAGACTCCTTTTCCACAGTGGGAGTTGCTCCCCTGGATGATGGCTTGGGGGAATAGTGGTCTGGAGCACTCAACACTACTGTTTTGGGGGTTTGGGGGTTTACTTGCCCACCAGAAGCAGTTGGTCAGTGACAAATCATTTTTCTGGTTTTTAAAGATTTCCCTGGAGTTTTGTCCCTAGAAAGTATAATAATCTAAGAGGGAGAAAACCCAAATATTCCCTCTTTGGCAAAATACCCCCTCCATGAAATTGGATCCTAATGAGCCCCTTGTGGAAGGAAAGGAATCTTAGGCCACCAGTCACACTTAGGATTGTATCAGCCATCACAGATGAGGCCAGAGGAAAGGGAAAAAAACACCTTAGCAACACTTGCTCTGCCCCTCTAAACTCACAGTGTCTGCCCCCTTACTGGTTCTGTGGCTTCAGTCTTCTTTTGAAGAGGAAGCTGCCCTCAGAGAGCACATCCTCCCCATCTTCTTTCCACAGGATATCAGATGTAGAGAGGAAGACGGTTGAGGACAACCTTCTCAAGATCTTTAAAAAGAATAAATTGGACATATCCAAGGCAGTAAATACCCCTTCTCCTTTCCTGGAAATGCTTCGAGACCACTCTGTTATCTCTGAGCAAATGTACCAAGTGAGTACCTTCCATCACCTGGTTCATGGCACTTTCCACTACCCCATCAATCTTACATATTCAATCAATAAACTAATGTTTATTAAGCACCTACTATGTGCCAGACACTATGAGAAGTGCTAGGGATGAATGGAAGTACAAAGAATGAAATGATTCCTACTTGAAAAAATCCCTACTTGACATTCTAATGGGGAAGACAAGAAGTATATATAAAACTATGGGTGGTAGAGGTATACTAAGTGAATAAATACAAACACATACCAGGTAGTTTGGGAGGGAGGGCACTGGCAGTTGAGAGGGTGTGAGGAAAAGCTTAATGAAAGAGGTAGTGGTTGGAACCTGCAATCAGTTCCTTTCTCTCTCTCCCTCCTCCTTTGATCCCCTCCCCCTCTCTCTTTCTCTCTGCCCCTATCTCTTCCCGATGTCTCTGTCTCTTCTCTTTCTTTCTCTCCCCCTCCTCCACACATATCCAATCTGTTGCCAAGTCTTTGGATTCCACCTCCTCAACATCTCCCTCCTCTCCACTCACATAGGCACCAACCTGTTCAGGTCCTCTTCACCTCAAGCCTGAACTACTGCAGTAGGTTCCTAGTTGATCTCCCTGCCCCACTGACTGTGTAAACAAAAATAAACAGGAACTATGGGGAGAGAAGGCAGGAATCTCTTGTAATAATTGCTACAAATGGAGAGGTCCCTTCTTGCAATATAAGCCAGAATTTGCAGAACACTGAAGGTTTGCCCAGCACTTTCCATATTTTGCCTTAGTTGAGCCTCCCAAAGGTCCTGGAAGGCAGTGGCTATTATTATCTCCTTTTTACAGATGAGGCAACTGAGGCTGAGAAAGATTGAGTGACTTGCCCAGAGTCACACAGCTCATAAGGCTCTGAGACAGGATTGGAGTGAGTCCAAGGATATTTCCACTACCCTAAGCTGTAGTAAGAGGGGAATCCAGGCGTGACAGGGGTGGTCAGAGAAAGAGGTCCAGAGCTTCCCAACCACCACTGGCTTGAAAGAGAGGAGGAGGAAAGAGTTCAAAATGCTCCCAAGCATGGAAGCTGAGGATAGTCTCAAGATTCTCCAACATGGTGGGAAATCCCTTTCTGGAACCACAGAATCATCTGATAACCATGATAGTAACTCTCTCTTCTTAATAATTCTTAGTGTGCTCAAAAGAAGTACCAAAAAATGGTCCCTATGTACAAGGGGTCCACATGTACATACAGCATCCTCAAGCAGCTGGAGAAGCAATTCAGCTCCAAGATCCTGGCAGCCTTGTTCCATCCCACCAATCTGGAGGAATACCCACAATTAGTACAAATTGAAAAGCAATTCAGAGATGGTAAGCCAGGGAGTAATTTGGGAGGGGAGCTCCTATGGGTTCAGGGAGACAGGAAGAGACATCTTCTATTGTCTCCTACTGGCATTCTCAGGGCATGGATGATTGGGTCTGGCTGTCCAGGAGGACTTCTGCACAGGAGTTGTCCCTTCCTATGGGTACAAGGACAAGTGTCTGCTCCTGTCTCCCACTGGCACTTCTAGGGCTGGCTGCTCTGGAGGACTCCCAACCACCACACAAGGGAGCTGGCCCATCTTATGGTTACAGGCACCTGAGTAGCTCCATCCATAGCTGCAAATAGGGCCTAGACAGGGGGCTGCGAAAAAGATGTGAAGAGTCAGGGAGGTGTCTGTTCCTGTACATCTGCCTCCTTCTCTGACTGAAGCTTTCTTTGGCTGTCTAGTGCCTCTCGATGAATCAACATCAGAAGCCAGTGTGGGGTCTCCTGTCCAGAGAAGCAGCCTGGATGAGGGTGCATCTACTGTAAGCACCCCTCAAAGCTCTGTCCAAGGTACTCAGCTTTTAGGCGATCTCCTGCCTCTGCTCAGGCCTCTCTTACACAAATCCTTCTTGTCTTACACAATCCTCTCCCTTGTTTTTTCTCCCTATTGTGCCCAGGTCTCACCTTTGCCTCTCATGTCACATCATGCCTTCCTCCTAACCACCTGTGCATATCACATCCTCCCACTGGCTGTGTGTCAGGTTCCTGAGGGCAGTCCCTTTAGTTTTTCATCTTTGTAATCATTGCAATATCACAGGAAGTCAAATAGATAATTTGGATTAGATGAAATTAAAACATTTTTGCATAAACAAAATCAATACAGTCAAAATTAGAAGGAAAGCAGGAAACTGGAGGGAAATTTTTATAGCAAGGTTCTCTGAAAGAAGTCACATTTCTCAAATATATAGGGAATTGAGTCAAATTTGTAGAAAGAAGAGCCATTCCTCAGTTGACAAATGGTGAAGAGACACAAATAGGCAGTTTTCAGAAGTAATCAAAGCTATCATTAGTTATATGTAATAACTGCTTAATGGTACTATGAAAACAAAAGATATCAATACAATTTTTTTTTCAAGGAAAAAGAGAAAACCACGGAGAACAAATATAGCTTTAATAAACACAGGTCATGTCAAACTAACTTATTTTCTCTTTTAACACAGTTATTGAATTGAAAGTTCAAAAGAAAGCCATAGATGAGTTTTAGCTACATTTTAGCAGTCTTTGATAACATTTCTCAAAATTTTGTTTTTCTTTCTAAAAAATATGTTATTGATGTCTTTTGTTTGTACAATATGGTAATTTGTAGATACACACTCTCCAGAAATGACCTCCTTTGTAGCATCATGGTATTAGAGAAGGAGCACTGACTTGAAGTCAATGGTTCTTGGTTCAAATCCTGACTCCTGTCACTTACTGTGTGTCCCAGGGCAATTCACTTAACCTAAGCTTTTCTCATCTATAAAATGAGAGAGTTGGACTACATGGCCTCTAAGGTCACCTCCACCTCGAAATCAATCAATAAATAAACATTTATTAAGTATCTACTATGTGCCAAGTACTAAGGATACAAAAAGAGACAAAAGACAGTCCTTAAACCTCGAGGAGCTTACAATCCAATGTAGGAGACAACATGCAAACAAATATATACAAAGTCAGCTGTATACAGGGTAAATTGGAAATAATTCACAGAGGGAAGGCACTAAAATTTAGAGAGGTTGGGGAAGGCTTCCCGTAGAAGGTGAGATTTTAGTTGGGACTTAAAGGAAGCCAGGGAGGGAAGTAGGTTGAGTCAGAAGAGGGAGAGCATTCCAGGGATGGAGGAGAGGCAGAAAGAATGCCTAGAGCCAGGAAATGGACTGTCTTATACATGGCCCAGATAGGAGACCAGTGTCACTGGATTGAAGAGTGCATGTGTATGATCCTACGAAAACCAGTTATAAAAAAAAGGAAAAACAGAAAAATTACACAATATAGTGACTGCATCTGACAGTCTGTGTAATGTTCTGCTCTCCTAATCCACATCTCTTGGCCAAGTGGATTGGTCGCATTAATGAAGGTGATTGTCCAGGACTAGAAAGGTCTTTTGAAGAAACTGTGGATGTACAAATTACTCTTTTGCCAATGTTCTCCCTAAGCTTGAGTCCACCTTCCCTGGGCTCTGTATGTACTTGTGGGAGAGTGTGTGTCATAGACTGTGGGGAAGGGGGGTTTGGTACCAAATATATCACCACAGTAAAAACTTATTTCTAAAAGCTAATTGAACCTGGCTAATTGGTATCAATTAATAATCCTGGGAGGAAACACACTGGTGGTATGTTATAAGATTAGGCCTATTGGTTGTGAGACCACCACCATAACAGTTTCTCCTTAAGGAAAGCTGTAGCTTATAGAATCTATGCATGGAAACCATTGTTATACAATTGGGCCTGAGGGTTATCATAGCAGTCTTCTCTTAAGAAAGGCTGTAAGCTTATAGAATCTAAGCATGGAAAAATATTGACAATAATAGTTTAAAGGTTAGCGCAGCTGTGTGCCCAAAAATAACTTTGTCAACCATCAGTTTCTCCTCCCTGCCCACATCCTATCCCTAGTGTGCCCTGAACTTTGACATGCAAATCAGTCAGCTTCAGGTAACCACCAAAATCAAGATTTAAGTATTGTACTCTCAGAAGGGCACTTTGGAGCCCATCTGCCCTCTGGACCCATGTCTCTGTGATCCCCACCACAGCCACTGCCCTTATGTGGGTTTCGCTCTGTATATGTCTGAGTTGTATACTGTGTCCCCTTCTCCTCATCCCCCTCTCCTATTCTTCCCTATCACTTGCCAATAGAACTTAACATTGAACCGATCCCCATTGTTATGACAGATTCTTGGCATCCAAACCCAGTAAGGAGTTTTCCTTCCTGATGACTCTGGCTGGCCCACAGCCTTTCATTAGATCTAAACTGGGTGCCTGAATAAGGACTTCATCCGTTGACAACCATACCTACACTGGAGGAATCTGACACTGTGTCCAGTCATTGAAAACAAGGATCAATAGCAAAGACCTATGTCCTCCCAGGAGAGACTCCCCAATGCCAAAGAACTGTCACAAAACATGGAGGCTCATGATCTATATAGAATTAGAAACCTCTAATGCCACCAACCTCTCAGGGCTGCCCCTAAAATCCAGAGAGGAGGCATAGCAACCACCTCTGGGGCTCTGACCTGCCAATGAGAGCTGGGGACTGAGAGAAGGGCTGCAGAGAATGTATCTTAATAGGATCAAAGATTGAGAGTTGCAAGGGACCTCAGAAGCCATCTAATCCAATGGATCCATTCTGAAGATGAGAAAACTGAGGCCCGGAGTGACTAAAGGGCTTTCCCAAGGTTCCCAGGCACTAAGAAGCAAGGCTGGGATCGGAAGCCAAGCCGTGGGACTTTTAAGCCCAGTGCCCTTCTCACCGTGCTGTGGCCATAACATTACAATGGCGGGGGAGGGAAGGTGAAGGGAAGCCAGTGTGGTTTGGTACATTAGAGCTCTCCAAATTTGAAAGCTCCATTGGGTGATGGGAGATATTCTCTCTTCCATTGACATTCAAAATTTTTTAAATATTTTTTCCCAATGACATGTGAAAACAATTTTAACATGTTTGTTTGTTTTTTTTAATTTTGAGTTCCAAATTCTCTCTCTTCCTCTCTCCCTCCCTCTCCTTGAGAAGGCAAGCAATTTGATAGAGATTTGGTCTGATCTGAGCCCAGCCACATCTTAAGGTCTGGGATTCTGGGGTAGGGTTTAAAAGAGTGATTTGGCCCCTTTTAACCACCTAGTTCTAGGGAGTTTTGTTTTGGGGGTTTCTGAAGAAAGGGGAAAAAAAGAAAGGGGGCCCAGAATGGCCCTAACTGACCTCTCAATGCTCACTTCACCCCACTCTGATTTTATTCTTTCCAGATGCCAGTAATAACAACAAACCTTCAAAAGTTAAGAAAAGAAGGAATTGTGGGGTCACACCTCGAGTCCACCGGGTTACAAAGAAAGGTAAGCTGAGCTCTGAGCCCAGTCTTTCCATGTTAGCCTTGCTGGGAGCCCACAAAAGTCCGAGGGCTTTGAACCCATCTTACCAGATTGCCTCCAGCTTACCAGCGTCCTAGGCTGGGAGCACAGCATGAGTGACTCAGAATCAAGGTGTTAAACAAAGCTCTGTCGGGGTCCTTTGTCTGAACCAATCAAGGGGAGAAGGGCAGTTTCACGATCGCTGGGTTAGATCCAACTGGAGGATCGAAGGTGGGGGCTCGCATGCTCTCTCCTCTTTGCTGTCTTTCACAGGCAGTACCAGCCTCAGTGCCCTGTGGCATCTTGTGCTTCTCCAGGCTTTTGCTGTCCCTCTGCATCCATCTTCAGTTACCACTTCATTCCCCCTTGTGGACATGATGCTGAAAAATCCAGCTGGTCCCTCTTGGCCCTCTTCACCTCATCAATGGGGCCGTTTCTGCTTCGGATGCACGCCATCTGGCATTCAGACTTCCTCTCTTCCCTTTCACAGCCTCATTTCCTGGAAAAGGCTGCCTATATGAACTGCCTCCACTTCCTCTCCTCCCCATTGATTCTCAGTCCCTTGCTGTCTGGCTTCCCCGCCTGCCACTCAGCTGAAACCGCCTTCTCCAAAGCCACTGATGATCTCTTCATTGCTAAGGACAAGGGTCTCTTCTCAGTGTCTGTGCTCTTTGACTCCCTGTAGCTTTTAATACTGTCAGTCACCTCCTCCTCTAAGTTCTTCCCTCCTCCATTGACTTTTGTGCCACTGTTCTTTCCTGGCTCGCCTCCTACCTGTCTGACCACTCCCCAGCGACCACGCCCTCATATTTATCCATGACCTGCCTCCATGCAGTCTTTGCTTAGCTGCCCCTCTTAGAACCCCTGGCTTCCTCCAAGGCTCAACACAGGTGATATCTCCTACAGGAAGCTTCTCCTTACCTCCATCACATGCACACACACACACACACACACACACTCCTACCTCCAACTCACTTTGTATTTATTAGTATTCATCTTGTATTTCCTTTTTCTGTCTACATTGTACATCTCACCCCACCTTTCTCAGTGAGGGCTGGAACTGTTGAGCTTCTGTGCTCAGTGGCTAGCACACAGTAGGTGGTTAAGAAACATGTGCTTTTTGTTCAATTGGATTGAATTCTGTATAGTGCCTACTGTTTGTCCCAAACTGACAAGAGGCTACCTTGGCTCTCCTCATCCTCTGCATCCCATTACTGCCCACCCAGTTGTTCCCAGAGTCTGTAGCCACATCCCTGGAGCATGGAAAGTGCTTCCCCCTTCACAGGAAGAAGTGCTTGGAAGGACACACTCCAATGGTCCCCGTCTGATAGACTCAGACTCCACAGCTTGGCCCCGAAGGTTCAAAGGTCCTCCTTTTCCTCCTCTGTGCCATGTGGGCTGACTTTTCAGCCTAGGCTTCCTCTCCACCTTTCCAAGTCCTTCCGTTCTTCCAAAGAGTCCTTTCTCTGGAGCCTCCATCCTGGAAAACCTGGAGTAGACAACTCCAGTAACCCTTTCCTGGACTTTGTTTCTTACACATCAAGGTCCCTTGGTACCAAAAGGAACACAAACAGCACCTCTCAGCAGCTGCCTGAAACCTGATCCTTCAGGCAGAGAGAGAAAGAGACAGACAGACAGAGATAGAGTCAGAGACAGAGAGAGACAGAAATAGAGAAAGACAAAGAGAGAGTCAGAGACAGAGAGAGACAGAGAGTCAGAGACAGAGAGAGAGGGACAGAGAGTCACAGATAGAGACAGAAACAGAGAGAGACAGAGAGACAGTAAGAGACAGAGTCAGAGATAGAGACAGAGATAGAGACAGACAGAGAGAGACAGAGAAAGAAACAGAGAAACAGGGACAGAGAGACAGAGAGAGACACCGAGAGGGAGCTCAGAAACCCACTGAAGAAGACTCTGGCTCTAACTTAACCAGACAAGCAGTCATTCAGCTTCTGTTTGAAGGCCTCTGCTGAGGAGGCACCCACACCCTCCAAGGCCAGCCTGCTCCTCTGTTAGAGAGCTCTCATTGTGAGGAAGACCTTCTTGATCTCAGATCTGCAACTTCTCCCCTCCCACCTCCTTGCTCCTCATTCTTCCCTCTGAAGCCAAGGAGGACAAGCTCAATCGCTTGTCCATATGACAGTCCTTCAAATGCTTGAAAACAGCTCTCATGCCTCCCTCCATGTGCCCATTTCTTTGACTGATCCTCTAGAATGGGCCCATCCCATATCTGCTCTCGGTGGGAAGGAAGAGTCCTCCAATCTAACCCCAATGCTCTCTGATCCTCTGATCCTTCTTCCCTAATGTGTAGCTTAAACACCCTCTGAGTTTTTAAAGGCTCCCTTCCCTTCCCTCACCAATCTCAGCCCCTGTCCAGCACTGGTTCTCCACAGGAACAATGTTCATGTTAGGCCTTGCCAGCCTTCTGGATCCAACCATTCTCTGTGATTTGCCCTAGCTTGCATCACCCAGGTCGTAGGCATCATTCACTGTCTCTGACTTATTATTCCATCAATATATTCAGACCTGGAGCTCATCTGGCCCTGATTCCAGTCACACAGGAGGCTGACTGGGTGGGGTGGGGGGCATGAGGCCCACCCTATTGTCAGGGTGGCAAGAGACATCCTGTCTTTCGGCCCTGACATCCATCACTCCCAGGAAGTAGACTGAGTCACCACTGTGATCTGAAGAACCCTCAGCAGAGAGGTTAGAGGTAGCTAAGTGGTGCAATGAATAGAGTGCTGGGCCTGGAATCAGGAAAACCTGAGTTCAAATGTGATCTCAGACACTTATGACTGTGTGACCCTGAGTAAGTCATTTAACTTCTGTCTACCTCAGTTTCTTCAACTACAAAATGGAGATAATAATAGCATCTACCTCTCAGGATTGCTGTAAGTATCAAAGAGATAATATTTGTAAAGTGCCTGGCATATAGTAGGCACTTAATAAATGCTTGTTCCCCTTCCTGAGAAAATTTAAAAAATTAACCACAGGGAATTATTTTCACAAAACCATGGGATCATAAGATTTAGAGCTGGAAGGGATCTTAGGAATGACCTTGTCCTAGCCTTACACTTTGAGGATGAGGAAGAGGAGGCAGAGGGAGTGACTTGCCCGATGCCAGGTCAGAAGCAGCAGCACCAGAACTCAAGAAAGATCCTACGCTGTTTCTTCCATACCTTGCTTGCTGCCTGAAGCACAAGGCTTGGGACTGTAAGCCCCCCGTTCATTTCTCTGGGCCATCTGAATTCAGACATTCTAATAAATTTGGGCTTAATCTGGGAAGGGCTTTGCTGGGAAGGGTACAGCGGACATGGGTCCAAAGCTGGAAGAGACTTAGTGACCATCGAGTCCAGCCCTTTGGTTTTCCAGAGGAGGAAACTAAGGCCCTGGGGATATTCAATGACTTGCCCATGGTGGCAGAGATAGGATGATAATGATAATAATAATATCTAGCATTTATATAGTGCTTTGAGGTTTCCAAAGCATTTTATAAATATTCTCTCATTTGATTTATGCAACAACCCTAGGAGGTAAGTGCTATATTATTATTTCTATTTTACAAATGAGGAAACAGAGGCAGAGAGAGGTGTATTGACTTGGGCAGAGTCACATAGCTGGTAAGTGTTTGAAACAGGATTTGAACTCAGGTCTTCCTGCTGCCTCAGCGATTTGAGTGCAGGCCCCTTTGCCTCCAGAGTTCCAGGGCTCTGCCTGCTTCCCCACATTGCCCACTCAAAGGTGAGCATCCCTATAGTGCTTTGAGGTCTCAGCTGACCCTCACAAGGACCCAGGGAAGGAGGCGTTTACTACTCTGATGCTCTCCAGTAAATTGCATGGCCACTCGACCCAGATAGCTCTGGAGGAGAAAGTGAGGCTGGTGACTTTGCACAGTTCTCCCTCACTCAAATCAAAGTCAATTGCAAGTCATGTCATCATCAACCTGATGTCATGGTCCTCTTCCAGAACAAAGTGCCATGGCCCCACAGGCAGTGAGCATCAAAGTCAGGGCTTGGACCTCCATGTCCCTTGCCTCCAAGGCTGGCACTCCCTTCCTTATACTATTCTGGAGCCCCCGGCAATGCCTTTTCTTTGGGTAGGTCACAATCTGAGTGGGATACAGATCAAGTCAAATTGGTCATTTCTCTTCTAGTTTCCAGAAAGGCCAAAGGTCCAAAGATGAATTACAATCTTCCTGAGCTTCCTGTGACCTGTGGGAAGGCAAAAGGCACTTTACACAAGGAAAAAATGAAGAATGGTGAGCCTTACATCCTCTGACTCTTGGGAGAGTCAAGCTCAGAGGGATTGATGGTGGAATGAGTGGAAGGATGAATAGAGAGATGGATAGAGGGATGGATAGAAAGGTGAATGGAAGGGTAGATGGAAAGATGGACAGAAGGGTGAATGGAAGGACAGGTGGAAGGATGGACAGAGGGGTGAAAGGAGGGGTGGATAGAGGGATGGATGGAGTGTGCAAGTAATCATTAGCTCAAGAATGTCTGGTTCTTTGAGATCACAGGACTTTCCTGACTCTTTCTAAGTGAGCTTGAAAGCCCAACAAGTGTTCATTAAGAACCTACTATGGACATAGCCCTGTGAAAAGAATTAGAGAAAAAAAAAAACAGTCCCTGCCTTCTAGGAGATTGCAATCTTGTTGGGAGGGGAGGCATATGGACACATAGAACTCCAGACACTTAATAGCCATAAATAGGGACCAGACCCAGTGATTTCATTGGTATAAGGAACTCCTGGGTGAGGAAATTCTCTCTGCCAGTGCAGGTCACCACCTTCTCTGCAACTTACAATCTAAAAGATTTGCCTTTTTGTTGTTATTCAGTCATTTCAGTTGTGTCTGACTCTTCATGACCCTATTTGGAGTTTTCTTAGCAAAGATACTTGAGGAGTTTGCCATTTCTTTCTCTAGCTCATTTTACACATGAGCAAAGTGAGGCAAACAGAGTTAAGTGACTTGCCCAGAGTCACACAGCTAGTAAGTGTTTGAGGCCAAATTTGTCATCCTAACTCCAGGCCTGGCTCTCTATCTACTGTGCCACTTGGCTGCCCAAAGATTTGCCTAGAGCAGCAGTTCTCAAACTTTTTGATCTTAGGACCCTTTTACACTCTTAAGAATTATTGGACGAGTTTTTGTTTCCGTGGGTTACACCTATCCATATTAACCGTATTTGTCAATTGTTGTGGAATTAATGTAAAGAGAATTCATAGGAAGACATTAAAGACCAAAGAGTTTAGAGAGGCTGGACTCGGGTCGAGTACCCTTGCAGCAGCCAACCAGTCAGTCCTCAAGCATTTAAGAGCCTACTATGTACCAGGAACTGAGCAAAGCTGGGGATGCTAAGAAAGGCAACAGAACAGAATAAAAAGTCCCAGTTTTCCAGGGGCTCACTATCTCATAGGCGGGACAATTCTCAAAGGACTCTGTCCAAACAAGCTACGGACAAGATACCTTGGGGATAATCAACAGAGGCTTGACCTTACTTGCTTTAGGGGGTGGGGGGGTGGCAGAGGGAATAGTGTCGAGCTGGGGTGTTCCCCGAGCAGGCCGGAGCCGAATGTAATTCACGGAATCTCTCTCTTGTCTCTCTTTGTCTCTGTCTCTGTCTCTGTCTCTCTCTCTGTCTCTCTGTTTCTCTCTGTCTCTCTCTCTGTTTCTCTCTGTCTCTCTCCCTGCCTCTGTCTCCTCCTCTGTCTCCCCCCCCCCCCCCCCCCCCTCCCGGTCCCCCCCCCCCACCCCGACTCCAATTCTAGGCTCCTCGGAGAAGTGCATCGAGAAGGCAGACGGTTCGTGGCTCACCCTGAGGGAGTTTGAAATCGAAGGAGGCCGCGAACCTACCAAGAATTGGAAGATGAGCATCCGCTGTGGCGGGCAGACGCTGCACTACCTCATCCAGGTAAGGCAGCGAGCGCCCCCGGCCCTGACCCGCAGCTGGAGCTGGCCGCGCTCCCCGCGTTCCGTGGGCGCACAGCCGGCCAAGGCTGGCGCTACCTCCCCGGTCTCCTCCTACGACTCCGAATGAACTCCCCTCGCCCACGCACGCCTGCCAACACCCCCATTCACGCTCACCCACATTCACCCACTCACACCGAGCACGAAGTAGTCCAACCAAACCCTCTTCGAGAGAAGTCGTAGCTGCCGGTCCGCGCCCCTGCCCGGCTCTCGGGTTTCCCATTGGCTGGCTGGCAAGCAGCGGCGTTGGGCGCTTGATCCCTGGCAGCTGGGGACTCCTCGTGTAGTCCATTGCGCTCGAGCTGATTTCTGGGGCCCTTTCGAGTTGTCTTCAAGAGTTCAGTTCTATTCTCAGTGTGAATTGTTCTATTGTCTCAGAATGTCTCTCTCAGTCCACGACTCTACGTCTGTGCCCATCTCCCCACCTCCCCCACCTCCGTCTTTCCCCCACCCCCTCCCTCCGTCATCTTGCCACGTTCCTCTGTGCTGCTCTTGTCCATTTTCTCTTACCTTCCATATATGTTTCTAAAATCTAAGTTGGTGAGTGCCCTGTGCACTCACTCAATCTCTTCAAACAAGTCTCATTTTTCCTCCTCAGCCGAATTGTTTCCCTTTGTGACTTGAGAATTTCACTCTTTCCTTCTTGGACTAGCTTCCCCTGTAGAATGTTAGACTGCGGGATCCTGCCTGTCTTCCACTCCTAATCTCATAATTGACTTATAGCAACTAAATGTTAAATCACCATTTGCTCATTACCAGTTTTCAGGCCTTTCTTAACCTTGTTAAATTTCTGATGGCTGCTTGGCTAGTGGGGGCATTCAAAGGCCCAGTTCTGAATTCTTTATCTGGAAAGAATTATATTTTCTAACTTAATGAAGGAGAAGCTTTATTGTGATGGGTATACTCAGCTTTAGGGACAGCTAGGTGGCACACTGGATTAGAGCTCTGGAGCTGGAGTCCAGAAGATCTGAATTCAAATTTGGCTTCAGACACTTGCTAGCTATGTGACTCTGGACAAGTCACCTACTTCCTATTTGCCTCAGTTCTTCATCTGTAAAATGGGAACATACCGGAGAAGGAAATGGCAAACCACTCCAGTATCTTTGCCAAGAAAACCCTATGGACAAGTCCATGGGGTCATGAAGAATAGGATGCAACTGAACAAGAAATGCTCAGCTTTGAAGGAAAAGCTGTTTTGGAGTACAAGCCTACTTGACCTGCTTTCCAATGAATCTCTTTGCACTTGTCTCTTTCATTTCCTGTTCTCAGTGAGTAATTTTTCACAATTAGAATCAGAGCATTCTAAATATGTGAATTTCTTCCTTCTGGTTGTTGGTAAGAGACTTCCTTTGCCATTGAAGCACTCTGGATTTTGTGATTACATTACTGGGTGAATTGTATATGGTGTTCCTCTCTGTTGGGCTCCTATGAATAAAGTACAAGCTCTTTATCTTGACAGTTAATATTACACAATCTGGCTTCAGCCAGATTGATTTCACATTACTCCCTCTCATGTGCTCTATGTTCTGTCCAACTGGCCTTGCTCTCTCCTTACACAACACTTCATCTTCCACAGTTACACAGGCTGTCTCCCTGTTGCTCTCCCTCCTGTCTTCTACCTGTGCCTTGGAATCCCCAGCCATCCTGGATCAGCCCAAGTGCTACTTCCTGTACTAGGTCTTTCCTGACAACTCTGGTTTTTCATAGCACCCCCACCTCTGCCCCATCCCAAAATTACTTTGTATATTTTTTGTATTTAGTTTATGCATATATATGCTGCTTCCTCCAAGCAAAATCGAAGCTCCTTCAGGGCCGGAACTATTTAGCTTTGTCTTTGGATCCCTAGCATCTAGCACATATGGATACAGTAGGCATTTAATAAATGCTTGTTGAATTGAGTCAAGTTGAATGGTCATAGTCCAGATGAGGTAATCACAACGTTCATTATGGTGGTGTCAGTGAGTATGTAAAAGAAGGAAAGGATGGCAGAGACATTGTGAAGGACCCATCCACAGGACTAGCCAGTCACCTTTGGGTGGGAAGTTATAGAAAGGGAAGCATGTGGGCTGCCCCTGAGGCTCAGATCCTGAGTGGACAGAGGGTAGTGGTGTCTACTACAGGAAGTGCAAAGTGGGAAGGAGGAGCCATTTGGGGGGAGGGAAGAGCAGACTGTGAATTTTATTTTAGATGTCTAGAATTTGGTAAAATGAGATTTGGAGATGGAGTTGTTAGTGCAGATTTAGAAATATGGAACTTGGGTGGGGGGGCAGGAGAGACCATAGACAAAGAGACCCTACTCATTAACTTTTTGTCCCTTTCAGAAAAAATTTCTACCTTGTCCTCCAAGAAGATATGGCAGGAGCAAAAAGGTAATTATGATCTGACCTTACCCAGGCAGCCACCTGCTGGCTGTTCCTGCTCCAGGTGTTACCTAGATCAGCAGTATCAAACTCAAGTAGAAACAGAGGCCATCAAACTGTACTTAAGAATCTTGCCAGCTGCATATTGACTTAGAAAACCACACATTAACATTATCTATGTTCTATTGTATTTTTATTCATTTTGTTAAATATTTCTTAATTACATTTTAATCTGGTCATGCTAGCAGTGGACCTCACCATGCTCTGACCTAGGGGTCCCTGAGGGCATTGAATATGATGGGCAAAGTCTCTTGTATTTACTTTTAATATATTTGTTTTACATGTGGTTTCTCTTCTTATAGAATATCAACACTTTGAGGACAGGGGCTGTTTCATTTATGTCTTCATATTCTTAACACAGAACACAAGGCCTATCACACAGCAGGTACTTAATAAGTTGCAAATTAAGGAAAATACTTTGTGAACACTGATTTCCTAGAATCAAGGAGCCAGTTATGAAAAGGCAGAACTGGAGTAATGAAGATGTGGTAGAAAAAGATCTGGCTGTCATAGTCACCACCAAGCTAAATAGTGAGTCAGAAATTTCAGTGCTTCATGCCTGCTGTTGGGATGGACATCAGGAATACCACACACAGGGAAAATAAGGTCATCTTGCTTTGAGTTTTTGCCTCAGTTTTCACACAAATATTTCATCCTCTTACCCTGCTGGTCACAGTAAATGAACTCAGAATTGAACTAACAGACACTAATTGATTATTGTCTCTATAGGTCTTCCCTGTAGGTCAAACTAGAAGACTGCAAAAAGTCCAGAAGAGGACACCTGAGTGTCAGACTCCACCTGCTCGGGTAAGTCCTTTCTTCATGCTGGAAGGGAGTCCACTGCCTTATTCAAAGTCTCCACTGGTTTTTCTAAGCCGTCAGTTCCCAGGTTTCTCCTCTTCTCTTCTTCCTTCAACTGTTCTATCTCCATCCTTGCAGATGACCAAATTTCTTTTGAATCTCCATGAATTCCCAACTTCTCTAAAGGTTCTCATGGTCAGCCCTTTCTCCTTTGGGGAGGCTCTGGTTCTTACAGGCTTGCTCTTTCCTTTTAGACATCTTTCCTCCCTTTCTTCCACTGTTCATTGTGTGGGGGCTCATTTCTTCATTCTCTCTGTTAGTTTTCATTCTTTCAGAGGTTTTTCCAGTAGTGTTTCTTTCCTCTCCCCTTGTTTTCCCTCTTTTATCCTGTCCACATTTATTGTTCCTTAGAGGTGAAGCCAATTGTATCGAAGTGGGTGTATTGCTCTGTGGAGTAGAAGGCAAACAGAGCTGCTGGTAGAGACTGGGGTTCTCTGTGGCATTCGAAGCCCAGAGGAAGGATCCTCTAAGGTGACCCCACTTAGGACAGGCATACATAGGGCCCAGGTTGTCTGAGGTATGAGTTGGCTGTGACTTGGTCACTGGGGAAAAGACCACAGATCCTCTGGGACATTGAAGCTCATGAGATAATATTTATAAAAAGGCTTAGCACAGTGCCTGGCACTTTGGTGCTATATAAATGTTTATTCCCATTTCTTCCCTTTGAAGCTTCAACCATATCAGAAAACACAGCTGGATGCTTCAGAGCCACCTACAGAGGTTCATATTTGTGGGGCAGAATAGACCAAGGTGGTCTTCTATTAGGTAGTTAGATGGTACAGTGGATAAAGTGTCAGACCTGAAGTGGAGAAGACTTGAGTTCATCCCTGGCCTCAGATATTTACTAGTTGATCATGTGACCCTAGGCAAATCACTTAATCTCCCTCAGCCTCAGTTGCCTAATCGTAAAATGGGGCCAATAATAGCACTCACCTGTTGTAAGGAACTGACGAGATAAAATTTATAAAGTGCTTTTTTTAAAGCAATATATAAATGAAAGTTATCATTACCATCAGCATTATTATTGTTCCATCCCGTCACAAACAGATAGTTTATTATATAAAAGTGTTGTCGTCCATAGCTCAAAGGACCAATTGTATGGGACTCCCTCCTAATTAGTAGAGATTGATGACCCAACTCCCCATGCCTCCTGATGGTGAGGGCTGGAAACCAGAAGAACTGGGATCTGTCTTCTCTGTGGCTGTCACCAATTCCAGTCCCTTGACATGGCTTGGAACATTGAGTAATCAATCTCCACCAATGAGGAGAGAGTCCTGTACAATTGGCCCTTGGAATGATTGACCCCCCTGGTAAAAAGGAGTTTCCCCTTCTTCATTTTACATGTGACTCAATATACAACAACCCTTGGCTCTACTCACTGTATTTCAAGAACTCCATGATTGCATTGTATAAAGCTCACCTCTTGGGCCAGATGTCCAACATCATGGCTGGGTGATTTCTGTCCATGTCACCACTCGCCTCCTCTAACAAGGAGAAGCAAGAGTTGGCTGCACAAAGAAATAGCTGGACCTCTGGTGCCATATGCACTGAGCTGGACAACGGGAAGGGTGAAGGGAGGGACACAGGCCCTGCCCTCCTGGAGCTTATTTACATTCAGGAAGATGGAGCAATTTGCACAAAGAATTCTAATGCAAAACAGGGGATGCAGGAAAATCCAATAGGAAACCAGAGGCAACCCTGGGGCAGACTTCACACTTCAGGCCTTGTATTTCAGTAGACAGAGCTGAGAGGACTGAAGGGAAGTCTAGGCAGAGGGGATGGTGTCAGACAAGGCATGGAGGTGGGAAAGGTCATTGCATCCTCAGGGAATGGAAGTTCACACGAGTTGTAAAGTTGTGACCTTTTCCTGACACCAATCCCAAACCCACCCAGTGTCCACCTGCCCTGCTTGTCAGGCTCATAATTAAGTCATTTTGTTTCTTGGGAAAAGCCTCAAGAGATGCTAGGGACAAGCCCCTGGAATGATGGCTGAGCAAGCATGCCCTCACTTAGCTTTGTGATTCATGATTGAAGAAGAACACAAGTAGTTAATGAGGAGGGGATTCCAGCTGGGGAAGGTGGCCTTCCCTTCCTTCTGAGTGAGGGGGGCTGTGGTAGCCGGACCTTGAGCAGAATTTGCACTGAGTCAGGGAGTGGGAAGGAGGACTGATAGCTGAAAAGAAATGCTCCAAAGGGGCCTGCAGGTGGGGATGAGGAGGATGCAGGGGCCTGAGTGGCTTCTAAGTGTCCCGAGGATAGGGGTGGCCACACCTGGAGGTCCATGGCCAGGGTGGGGGGGCAGGATGAGTTTTCCCTTAGATGTGCTAAGTTTTCATAATCAGGGTGCAGGGAGATGGATATTTACTTCTTTTTCTTCTTTTTTTTTGGCAATTGGGGTTAAGTGACTTGCCCAGGGTCACACAGCTAGAAGTGTCAAGTGTTTGATCTGAGGTCACATTTGAACTCAGGTCCTCCTGACTTCAGGGCTGGTGCTCTATCAACTACTCCACTTCGCTGCCCCAGATATTTTCTTCTGAGAGACCACCAGAAATATGGGTCTAGAGAGCAGGAGAAGGAAGCTCAAAGGGGGCCCTGCTCATCAAGTGTTTCTCCTTTTCAGAATGCATCTCAACTCCAACCTAAAAGAAGGTTCTTCCCGAGAAAGAAGGTAATTTTATGATCACTTCCCCCATGAGGTGTTACTGTGCCCTGGGGATCCTACGAGCTCGGAAGCAGCAGCTCTCACCGGGGGAGGGGGGGATATGCCAGCAAGCCCCAAGGCTCTGGGGGGAGGGGGACTGCCCTGCTTGGCCCCCAAGGACAGAGCCAGGAGTAGGGGAAGGGGAGGGAAGTTGCAGAGAGGGTTACATTGAGGCTCAGGTCAGGTCAGCAGAAGCTCTGAGAGCCATCCCCTTGGGGAAGGGGCGGTCACTGATGGGGGGAGGGAAGGCTACCCTAACTAGGGTTAGTGGACTCTTGTTTAGGTCTGTGTCGGACTAGCTGGCTGCTAAGGACCCCCCAGCTTTCACTTCTGTGATTCTTTGAAATCTGATGCTTCTCCCCTTGGAGACAAAGTCTCTTCTCACTGGAGTGTCATTTTCAGGAAAGGAGAGGGTGAACTTTCTTGTCTTAATAATTAGACCAATTAGGACCAAGGATCAAAGATGAACTTGTCCCTCCTCCATCCTCCCAAGTCTCCTCACCCTCAGGGCCACCTAGAAGCCAATTACCGCTCCTGAATGGGGGAACAGGGCTAGCATCAGAAATATGATTAGAGACAGGGCGTTCCTAACCCTAATTCCACCTCGTTCATCCCAGAACTCCGCCAGGGATCAAAGTGAAGTTCATTGGCCCCTCCCCTTTGGAAGACTGCCCACTGGCAGTTCAGAGACTTTTTGCCTCTAATTCCAAGCTCATGCGCAGATCACTGCTGGGCAAGGCTCAGCAGTCACACCTGTCAGGCCTTCCCTGCCAGTGAATCTGTGACCTCCAATTGGCAGGTGATGACTCACCCAAGCCCACTCCCATTTGCCTCCTCAGGGAGATCAAGGTCTTGACAAGACTGGCCCACCTCCTGGTCATACTGTACATTTCTCTGATAATATCTTTAGGTTTATAATTGATGTCTTTTGTTTTCAACACCGTAATCATGTCCCAATGTTCCTCCTCCCATTTCTTTATCAAATGACACACGTAGCCCACTCGTGCCCCTGCACAAGAGACTGGGCTGATATAGGGACCTCCCGAAGAGGAAACTCCCTTTACCAATGCAAGTCAGCTCTATCTCTGAAACAGATAGTCTTAGAAAATTGCCCAGAGGCCCAAGAGGGTGAGTGGCTTACCATATGGCCAGTAGGTCTCAGAGGGGAGAATCAAACCGGAACCTTCCTGGCTTGAGAACCAGTTCTCATGTAACATGCTGCCGCTTGTACAAAATAAATACAAGGTTATTTTGAAGGGGGACATCAGGGGCAAAGGAGGGAATGAGGAAGCAGATAAAGAAAGACTTCACATAGGAAAGTGCATCTAAAGTGAGCTTTGAAGGGAGCCTGGCAAACTGGCAGAGGTGAGGAAAGAGTCTGGGGGACAAACAGTCCAGAGATGGAGACCAAGTGCTGTGTTCAAGGACCAGAGAAGGCCCATCTGGATGGACCTTTGAGTGTGCGGAGGGCAGTAATGTATGTTGAAAAAGTAGGTTGACATCAGGCTGTGAAGGGCTGTAAACTCCAGGGGAATTTATCTTTGGTCCTGGAGGTAATTGTTTTATTTGGCCTCACAGATCAAGTTAAAGACCTGAGTTCAGAAATTTCTGAGAAATTGGTACTCGGGAAGTGGGGATAAAGAAGTGCTTTGTTATTTTGTGGCTCACCAAGCAGGCAAACAAAAGCACACACACACACACACACACACACACACACACACACACACAATATGGCAGTAGAAGTAAACAGATTCTCCCCCAGATGCAAGAAACTCACCCAGTTCGAGCAGGAGGGAGATGTATCAGGGAAGAAACATCCTCAAAGTTGGGGTTCAGATGGCAAAATTACATACCCTAAGAATGGGTATTGGTTGAGAACAAGTAATGGGGGCCGATGTGGGAGGGGGCCTTCCTAATCACCAGATTGGCAGAGAAGTTTTTGGGGCTACTTTTTGATAACAGTTTTGGGGTGAGGCTTGGATACGGGAGTTTCCTTGTTGGGACCACAAACTAGCTTATCTTTCTAGGTCAGCAAGAGGAGAATGACTCAAGGTTCCTGAAGCAGGTCAAGGGCTCCATCTGATTGAAATCTGTGAGCATTATTTACCTGACTCAGAGTTAACAGATCAGAGCAGTGGAAAAATCCAAATTGTCTGTCTTTGCCTATCTGCTTTAATGGGCATTAGGACCACTTAGCCTAAGTGACTCCATCTTGGAGTCCTATCATTACATCTATAACAGCAAACAATATAAAGTCTACAATGATCACGGGAGTCATTGGAGTTTCCTGAGCAGAGGGTGGGAGAGGTGGGGCAGAATGATATGATCATACCCACCCTTTAGAGAAATAACTGGCAACTGAGTGGAGGATGGATGGAGTGGGGAGACTTGAGGTGGGCAGATCCACCAACTGCCATTTTGATAGTCCAGGAATGGGGTGATAAAGCCCTGAACCAGGGTAGAAACAGTGTCAGAGGAGAGAAGGAGGTACATATATAAGAGATATCATGAAGCAAGACTTGGTGAGGGGAGAGGGGATGTTCCTAATGTTCCTTCGAGCTTGGAGGGTGTAGGCTTGGTATAGACCTAGCTCACGCGCTAATGGATCAATTTGTTTCCCCAATGTTTCCCTAGCCAAGAAGGGAAGGACAGAGCTGGAAGGCCAGTTCCCAGGTTGCTGCCTAGTGACCCGCCCCTTCACTGGCTATTGGTAGAGATTAGGGATGCTTTATTCTGCCGGGCTAGAACAGGGAGGCCCAGAGCCAAGGGCACTTGAGTCTTTTGTCCTGATGGGCAATGGCCCTGGTAGCTTTGTCTTATTTCCTCAGCAGTTCCCCTGGCAACCACCCGATGCCAGGATGCCAACCCCAACAAGGTCCCTCTCTTTGCCCAGCTCCCTGACACTGGAGTGTGCATGAGTGCGTGCAGACACACAGTCACACGGGCAGCCTAGGAGGTCTTTCCTCTGGAATAGAAAGGACCGTTGTGGGCTGGACTCTGTGAGACTCTGCCGGGTGGAAGGAGGTGGGGCTTCTCAATGAAGTGACGGTACATGCACAGCTCGGGCTGCTCCCCATCCTAGGGAAATACAGAACCAACTGGTAGCACCATGCCCAGATATGCCAAGGCAGCACTTGGGATGGTTGGCTTATGCCTTCCATGTTGTCTCCAGCATTGAGGAGGAGAGGACAGAAGGTCCTGGCATTCTTGGGTCTATTCCCTAAGGAAGACTCATTTTGCATTGTGAATGAACACACCCTGACTGGCATCTCTGTTCTCTTGTTTGCCACAATAGGTACCAGGAAAGACTCGTTGGAGGTGGTCCCAGTTACCGGGTTAGTACCAAGTTTTCACTCTGAATGAGGTTTATAATTTGCGAAAAGAACAGATTGTGATTTGGGGTCATGATAATAATACATGGATATTCCCCATTGGTGGTGCTACATATGTTATGAAATAATAATCATAATAATAGCTAGCATTGTGTTAAGGTTTGCCAAGCACTTTTTGCATATTTGCTGATTTCATCTTCACAACAGCCCAGGAGGGAGGTGCTATTATTACCCCCATTTTGCAGATGAGGAAACTGAGGTAGGCAGTAGTTAAGCGACTTGCCCAAGGTCACACACAGGATTTGAATTCAGGTCTTCTTTACTCCAAGTCCAACATGCTATTCACTGGTCCACCTGGTTGCCTGTGTAACATAGATGCATATTTGTGTGTATGTGTAAGCCACAGCAGCTGAACTGTGGGAACAGGGAGACAGCAGCTTTTGTCAATAGCCCTGATGATCACACTGGTCTCTCTCTCTCCAAAGCTTCCTGTGTGACAGGAGAAAAAGCAATGAGGTTCTGTGAGAACTTTTTTGTGGTACAGCAATAAAGTTCTGCTAAGTTCTGTTTACCTAGGTGCCTTTTAAAAAAATGTATTTAAAAGAAATTAAACTTGTAAAAAATTATTAAAATTAAATTGAATTTCAAAAACTCATTTAAAATATATTAACCCCTTCAATTAAAGATAAATTAAATCTTTTAATTTATTAAAAATAAATTAAATCTTTTCATTTATTAAAAACAAATTAAATTTTTTATATTATTAAAATTAAACTTTAAAAATTGATTTAATTTATTAAACTCCAAAAATTTATTTAAAAATAAATTAAACTTCTAAAATTTACTAAAATTAAACTTTTGAAAATTTAACTTAAAATAAATTAAACATTTTTAGTTCTTAATTTATATTTTAATTTTATTACTCTGAACTTGACAGTCATCAACAAATATGAATGTTTTTTATATTTGTCATGCACAGAAGAACAAGGAAAGAGGATTGTGCAGGAAACCATGAGTCTGTACATTTCACATCAAGCTTGTTTTTGAAAAGAACGTCCTCAGTTTCAGGCTTGTCTTCATTGCCTGAACTTCCTTTCGCTCTCTTCCGTGTGTAACCAGCTGGGTGATTTTCCCTGTGTGAGGTTGTTTTCCTTCACTGTCAGCCTCTGGAGACTGTCCCAGCCATCCCCTTTGCTGTCCATTTTCGGGTTCTCCTCAAGACCCATTTGGAGGGACCGATGATCGTGTCCTGCTCCCCCTCCCTCAAGAGTCCCTCCACTGGGCATGGGGAGAGGGGGCTCAGGACCGTGGACTCAGCAGCGCCCCGCCTGGAGCACTTGTAAACACCATCATTGTTCCCACTCTGTGCAAAGTCCAAGGACCAAGGGGGTGTCCACCCCAAATTCTTCTCTGCGTGTCTCCTGAAGCACTCGGGTCCCAGAGTTGGTCCTTCCCAAGTGTGTTGTCATTTTCAAAGTGGATTCTTCAGAAAAGTCAATAGAGGGCAGTGTGGGGAGTGGTAAGAACAAGCATTTATTAAGTGCCTACTGTGTGCCAGACTCTGTCGTAAGTACCAGGGATACAAAGACAAAAGATAACTAGGCCCTGCCCTCATGGATCGCGAATTCCCCTAGGGGAAATAGCATGATCACCCCCCAAAAAAAAAAAAAAAGTTACAAAGTAAATGGAAAGTAATTTGGGAAAGAGGAAAAGGAGGAAGAGGAGAAAGAGCACACACACCTAGAGGGATCCTCAAGTGCTAGGTTGTTGATTTTTTTGGAGTCAATCGGGGTTAAGTGACTTGCCCAGGGTCAAACAGCTAGTGAGTGCCAAGTCTTGAAGAGAGTCAGGCATTCCAGCTCTTGTCAGTTTGGGGGGCTTGTGTTGTTGAAATTCCCTCCCCCCCACTGGATAGACAGCCCTGCCCCCCCCATTTATCTCCCCCCTCTCTCTTTTCTCATCCTCTCTTTTTCTCTCTCCTTTCTGTCATCTCTCTTTTTATTTCCTTTCTTTTTTCTCACTTTCCTTTATTTCTCTCTCTTTCCTCTTTTTCTCTTTTGTTCTTTCTCTCTTTCCTTTCCTTTCCCCCCCCCCCCCATTTTATCATCAGGCTGTCTCCCTGCAACCTTACTCCTGACTGGTTTTTTTCGGTCATGTTGAGCTGTGTGGGGGACTTAAGGCAAACTTTCACTTGATTCATCTATTTCATGGAATTTTCACTGGATTTACCAGAAGGTGGTCACCAGTTTTGCCTTTTGGAAGGACAGGTTTCACTGTCACTTTTTTGTAATGTTTGCTAGCCTCCTTTCTTCTCTAGTAGTTTCAGTGAAATCTTACTCCCAGAGATACGTTTGCTTCAGTTTTCATCCCTGGGAGAGTGACCTGTGCTCTTGACCCTGGTCTAGTTGGGGATATGGATCAGTAGGGATTCTTTCATGCCTCTGAGCATTGAACAAACATCCTCACTTTTATTTTCTTGTGACAGGGAGAAGACAAGTAGTTTCGCTGGCCGACCGACCAAAGTATCGTGCCCAACTCCAAGCCAGGGAATGGATCCATGTGGCATGCAGAATGGGCATTGGGCGCCTGTACAAGAACCGATTTGCCTCAGGTGAGTTCTCAGAGAGGCAGCTGGTGTGCCATTTGGGGCCATCCTGACTCATGACACATCACAGCCCTTGGTTCTAACATCCTCCAAGGGACTTCACTCACCCGACTGAACAGTCTCCCTAATTTCCCACAGTATATCTCCCCTTCCTCCTCCACTTTTCATGAAACCTTCTTACAAAACAAATGACATTTTTATAAAGACCAAGAGGAAAAAGAAGAGGAGGGGGAAACCCAGCATAAAACCTGAAAAGATGTATAGTTTACATTTATGGACTTCCCACCTTCCCAAATAGGTGAGGGGAGATTGTCTTCTTACATGGGAAAGGAGAAGAGAATAAGCATTTACTAGGCGCCAGGTACATGCTAAGCACTTTACAAATATTATCTCATTTTTATCCTTACAACAACCCTTGGAAGTAGGTGTTATTATTATCACCATTTTACAGTTGAGGCAACTGAGGCAAACAGAGGTTAAGTGACTTGTCAGGGTCACACACCTTGTAAGTATCGGAGGTTGAATTTGAACTCAGGTCTTCCTGACTCCATGCTCACTGCTCTATTCACTGCTTCATCGAGCTGCCTCCTACCTCCTCTTTGGAGCCATGCTCATTCTTTATAATTTTGCAACATTCCCTTCTGATTGCTCTGTGGCTGTTCTTTCCATGTACATTGTTGTTGTCATCTTGTGTGTCATTTTCTTGGCTCTGCTTACTTCACTCTGCGTCAGATATGTGAATCTTTCCATGTTTTCCATTAACTACATTCACCAATTCTTATACCACAGTAATATTCTATTCCATTCATGTACTACCATTGGTTTAGCTGTTCCCCAATAAGTGGGTTTGTACTTTGTTTCCAACTCTTTGCTATCACAAAACTTGCCGCTCTAAATATTTTGCGGTATATGGGGACTTTCTGCTTAGCAATGGCCTCTTTGGGGTAATTGAATCTATACCTAAAAGGATATGGACATTATAGTCACTTTATTTTGCATAATTTGCATAATTCCAAATAGCTTTGCAAAATGATTACACTGACTTGCAAGTCCACCAACAATACATTAGCATGCTCATCTTCCCACAAGCCCTGCAACATTGAATATTCCCATCTTATGTCATTTTTGCCAAGTTTCAGGGTGTGAGTCGCAACCTGCAGAGTTGATTGTTAATAGTTTGCAATTATTTTTTTGAGAATTGTTTGTCTGTTAATACTTATTTATCTTCACTTCTACGGTGCAGTCTCACATTTGATTTACTTAGGTTAACGAGTTGAGTGTCCTCATAAGAATCCTCTCATCCTCTTCCTAAGATAAAGGTTACATGTAGTAAATGATTTCAGAAAGAAAGATCCTGCCATCTTCTGTGTCTCTATTCTTTCTCCAGACATGACAAAAACCAGTATCTTCAGCTTTTCTCAATCGCTGATAAAATTCTCTTTATAACATTTCTTCATAACTGTCCAATAACTTTCTCCCAAGGAAGAAATTTCTCCTCACCTTCCTCTCTGTCTTATCCATACTGATTTTTTTTTGTAATTAATTAATTTATTTTTAGTTTTCAACATTCACTTCCATAAGATCTTGAGTTTTAAATTTTCTGCCCTTCCCACTTCTTCCTCCCCTCAAGACGGCATAAAACATGAAGTAGGATCTACGTATACATTAATGTTAAGCGTATTTTCCCATTAGACACGATGTAAATTACAATTAGAACCAATGGGAGGAACCACAAGAATGAAGCAATAAGAAAAAACAACGAAGGAAAAGGAGAGCAAATAGTATGCTTCCATCTGTATTCAGACTCCACAGTTCTTTTTCTGGGTGTGGATAGCATTTTCCATCATGAGTCTTTTGGAGTTCTCTTAGATTCTTGCATTGCTGAGAAGAGCTAAGTCTATCAGTCAGTCATCCCATAATGTGGCTGTTACTGTGTACAATGTTCTCCTGGTTCTGCTCATTTCACTCTGCATTAGTTCATGTAAGTCTTTCCCAAGCTTTTTTGAAGCCAACCTGTTCATCATTTCTTTTTTTTCCCGTATTAAACATATTTTCACATTAGTGATGCTGTAAGGAAGAATTAGAACCAATAGGACGAACCACAAGAAAGAGAAAACAAAACAAAACAGAAGAAAAAAATAGCACATAATATACTTCGATCTGCGTTCTATCTCCATAGGTCTTTCTTTGGATATGGACAGCATTTTCCATCATGAAACCTTTGGAGATGTCGTAGATCCTTGCATTGCTGAGAGGGCTAAGTCTATCAATATTGGTCATCACACAATGTGGCTGTCACTGTGTACAACATTCTCCTGGTTCTGTTCACTTCACTCAGCCTCAGTCCATGCAAATCTTTCCAGGTTTTTCTGAAGTCCACCTGCTCATCATTTCTTATGGCACAATATTATTCCATTACATTCATATATCACAACTTGTTCAGTCATTCCCCAATTGATGGGCATCCCCTCAATTTCCAATTCTTTCTCACCACAAAAAGAGCTGCTATAAATATTTTTGTACATATGAGTCCTTTTCCTACTTTTACGATCTCTTTGGGGTACAGACCTAGAAGTGGTATTTCTGAGTCAAACGGTATGCACAGTTTTATAGCCCTTTGGGCATAGTTCCAAATTGCTCTCCAAAATGGTTGGATCATTTCACAATTCCACCAACAATGTGTTAGTGTTCCAATTTTCCCACATCTCCAACGTTTATCATTGTCTTGTTTTGTCCTGTTGGCCAACATGTAAACAACATGTTGGTATGATGTGATACTTCAGAGTCGTTTTGATTTGCATTTCTCTAATCAATAGTGATTTAGAACATTTTTTCATATGACTATAGATAGCTTTAGTTTCTTCTTCTGAAAACTGCCTTGACCCTTTATTACTTGGGGAATGACTTGTATTCTTATAAATTTGACTCAATTCTATATATATTTTAGAAATGAGGCACTGGTTGCAAAAATTCTTTCCCAGTTTTCTGCTTCCCTCCTAATCTTGGATGCATTGGTTTTATTTATGCAAAAACTTTCCACTTTAATGTAATCAAAATTGTCTATTTTGCATTTCATAATGTTCTCTATCTCTTCTTTGGTCATAAATTCTTCCCTTCTCCATAGACCTGAAAGGTAAACATTCCTTGCTCTTCTAGTTTGCTTGTAGTATCAGTCTTTATATCTAAATCTTGTACTCATTTTGACTTTATCTTGGTATAGGGTGTAAGCTGTTGGTCTATGACCAGTTTCTGCCAGACATTTTTCCAGCTTTCCCAGCAGTTTTTGCTAAATAGTGATTTCTTACCATAAACATACTGTATTTCACAGATCAAAATTAAATACACATAATACTCTCTCTGACTCCATAGGGTGAAATATCTCATAGAAGGACATCTAAAATGCTAACTCCTAGATTCTGTGTCTTAAAAAGACAATAACAATCTTTATGGCAGAGATTCTTAACATGGTGTCTGTGCACTTGGTTTATACATACATACGTACATACATATATATATATGTATAACTGTATTTCAATTTAATTGGTTTCTTCTGAATTTTATTTTATACATTTAAAAGTATTATTCTAAGAATAATTCTTTCTATGAGAGTAATAGATAAATAATAAATCTAAGAAACATTCCATAGATTTCCCTAGACTGACCTAGGGGAGGTCTATGACACAAGAAAGATGAAAAATCCCTTGTTCAGTGGCCTCTGGAGGAAAGGCTTTGGAACACTGTTGAAAAGGAATCAGACAGATAAAAGAAGGAACAACATCCCCAGTTTTCCATATACTGCTTCCCAGTCCTGCATTCCCAGCTGCCTGTTGGACATTTCCAAAATGGATACTGGACCTTACCTTGGGTTTCACCATTCAACTAGTTCTGAGATCATGCCATTGAGCCATCAGCTAACGCACATCTCCACTGTGTTCCCAGGGAACCCCGTGAGAGGCTGTTGTGTGCTTCACCAAAATCTTAGTAAATTCTAGAGCATTCTCCTTGTCTACCAGTTTTGAGCCTTGTGTCCTTAGGATCAGAAGAGATGGGAGGTGCCTATCAAGTTGTTCTTAATCGCTCACTTGTTTCAGAGCATGACTGAAGAGTCCACTCAAACAAGGATGTCACCTCACTCAGGGCCAACTTAAAGGGATGTGCCTCAAGTCCCCATCTTTGGCATTGTCTTGGCCAATGTTTTACTAATAACTTGGATGAAAGAGAGAATGCATGGGTGGAAGGGATAGGTAATTCAATGGGTAGTGGGACTAAGCCTTAAAAGGATCCCCATAAGCTGAAGAGGTGGGTCCAGAGCATAGGGAGCAATGGGAAATCTTACATTTAGGTCCATGTAATCAATGGTGCACTTATAGCTTGAGCAGAACTGGCTGAACAACCTTCCTGTGGGAATTTTTCTTGACCACAAGTTCAGTGTGAGCCAACATTGTGGGGGCAATGGGGGTGGGAGGAGATGCTGGGGTAGGGGGGTGGTCAGTGCTGATAGAGCCAAACAACTTGAAGTCATGAAACTTCTCATCACGGGGAGTGGTGATGTTCTCATCTGCTTCATCGCTGCCAAACTGAAGTGCAGGGCCCACTGAAGACTAAGCCAGAGGAACCCAGGACCCTTATCCTGGAGAAGTATATGGGGAAGGTGTGCTCGCTGCCCTCCAGTGTGTTAAGGGCAGTCCTGTAAATGAAGAAATTAGACACCCTCTGTGCTGTCCAAAAGGGGAGAACTCAGGCCAATGGGTAGAAGTTTTAGGGAGGCCAACTTCAACCCCGTGCAGAATGTAAGCTCCTTGAAGGCAGGTTTGGGTTTTGGTTTGGTTTGGTTATGTGCCTTTATGACCCCTATAACCTAGCACAGTGCCTGCTACTTCATAATTGCTTAATCAGTGTTTGTCTAACTGAATTGAATTGAATAAAAAGTGCTCCCTAAATTGAAAAATTGAAAAAAATTGAAAATTTGAAATTCAAAAATTGAATTGAAATTGAAATGAAAAAAATTGAAATCGAAAAATTGATTTGAATTGAATTGAAAACTGAAAAAAATTGAAATTGAAAAAACTGAAATTGAAAATTGAAAAAATTGAAAATTGAAATTGGAAAAAATGAAAAAATGAACTACATCAGGTAGTGAGCTCCCCATCTTGGAAATGCGTGCTAGTAGTAGCTGGATATCTATCTTTTAGCATTGTTATAGAAGGGACTGCTAGGTAACCTCTATGTAATTTCAATTATTCTGCAATGTCTTATTCCTGATGGTGTCTTCCCTTCTGGAAAGCTCATGAAGAGCAGGGTTCAGACAGGCCACGAACACTGAAGACTGAGCTTGAGGCAAGAGGGCTGCCATGTTTTCCTCCTCTTCCTAGTCTCTCTCTTTCTTTTTTACAGTCTATAAGGGAAAATGCATCCTAACAGAGGCAGGGTGGTACACCCCACTAGAATTTTTGGCCAAAGACCCTGAGATCGATATTACCACCTGGACCCACAGCATCCGCAGTGGCGGACTGACCCTGCAGACCCTGATTGAGGTAAGATCACAGGCTCAGCACCGGCCCCCCTCCCCCCCAGAGCTCTGGGCAGTCCGACACCTTGCATGTTCATGAGGAGGATAGTTCAGATGACACGAGGTCACAGGAAGGTCTGGAGTGGTCCACAAGCATCCCGTGGCCTGGACTTCAGCTCAGGCTCTTGTCCTCTCTCAACCCCTAGTCAGAATTTATCCACCTTGTGTTTCTCTCATCCCCTCAGGACCCTGGCTTCTGCCAGCTAAGCGGAAAACAGTATAATCTGATCCACTAAGCCAACTGAATGTGTTTTAATGGGAGCTGATGGGTTAATAAGACAGGGCAGTTCCATCATGGTATATCCCACTCTTTTCTAAGCTACATATTTTATCATGTGGTCATCTTGGTGGAGAATCGTCCACTTGCCCTAAGCAGGACTCCAACATAAACTATTGGCAGTCAAATGTAAGCACCCTGAGGGCAAGGGTTACTTACTTCTGTTTTAGTAGCCCCAGCACCAAGCACAGTGCCTGGCATATAGGAGGTACTTACTAAATGCTTGTTGCCTTGAGTTGAGTTGAACCAGAGGGCAGGAGCAAGAGCAGGGCAAAGATGAGCTGGCATGAGAAGGGCAGAGTTTCAAGCACAGGGGAGGGACCTTGTGATTCAGATCACGGATCACAGGTGGCTGCCTTCCCCACATAGGCTGTGGGCCACAGGAGCTCCCCTGGAGCGTGATTGGTCAGGAGTTGGAGGGAAACTAGACCAAGATGGATGTAGCCCCACAGGATGCTATAGGATAAAGGAGCATGCAGTGACCAAGCACTGAGCCAACTTAAGGCACATGCAGCCTGTTCTCTGCTAGGCTCACAAGGAGCTAAAGACTGTCTTCTTCTTAGCAGATTGAGGCTGGATGTTGGGCAGGAGAGCTCAGGTCCTCCAGTGTTGGTCCTGGAGAAAGCTACCACGTCTCTGGCCTGTGGGACTGTGCAGGATGACCTTTACCTGCCAGTCTCCAGTTCCATGATTCTCCCCCAGTAGCCAGGGAGGTATAATGATGACGCTTCCTAAAATGAAGGAGACTCATCTTCCCTGTCAGGAGAGGCCAGAGGGGGCTGGTCTCCTAGCCATTTAAATTATGAAGGGCTTAGCAAGACAGCTTTACACATTCTAAGCTCTGATGGGAGCACTGGGAAGGACTTTTAGTCAATCCAACAAGCATTTCATGAAGCACCTTCAGGTAGTTAGTGCCAGGTACCACGCTAGGTCTGGGTGCACAGACGGCAATGAAACAATTCCTGACATTCCACCAGGGGAAGCGTGGCCAGGGTCCCCAGACTGCTAGAGGCCAGGACCCTATGGCCTCCACAGCAAGAAATCCCTAGACAACAGGCAAGTGCCTGCAAGATCTCGTCGAGGATTCAGTCGTCACTGACTCCTTGATACAGCACTATCCCTACTCAGCCCTCCGGTGTGCTTCTGCCCGCCACCCCAAGAAGCTCTCACGCTCCAATGTGAAAGACTTTATCTCAGACATTCACACCACTCAGGTGACACTATCACACATTCAGGGCCAGCCACCAGTCACCAGGTCTCCCAGAGCTCTGTTGCTCTCTCGCTCCCCTTCCTTCTGACACTATCAGTCTCGTGGCCACAGGAGCAGGGCTAGATGGGGGATGTTAGCCCAGGAATATTCCTGGGGTGACGGCTTCATGCAGCCTGGCTGCCCTGCCTCTCTCCATGGAGCCCCCTTGTCCTTGAGATGTGGTTCTGACTTTGCACCACAGTGGGGTGGACAGTTTCAGGAGCTACATCTGAGCGACATTAGAGGACGTCAGTCAACACAGGATCGGCTGTTCCGCCCACCCCTGGGAGACGTGATCTGCCCAAAGAAGGGCTCTGTGCCCCGAGCAGCCACCTCCATCCATGTCTCTCCATCTTCATCTCTCTAACAGAACGACATTTTGAAGCCTCACACAAGTGACTGCTCCTGTGTCATCTGCAATGAGGAGGACCCCTTTGTGAGTTCTCCCTCTCTTGTCCTGTCTTTCTTATATCCATCTCTTAGCACAGCAAAGCAAGGCTGGAACTTCCCCACCTTCTCATTTACCTGTGAGGACACTGGGGCTGGGAGAGGGTCTTCTGCTTGCCTAAAATCACCCAGTGAGTCAGTGGAGGAGCCAAGGTAGGAGGCCAGGGTCTTTCCACTACACCTCAGGGCCCACCTCATATCATCAGATACACTCGTTTGTTTTTCATGAAGGGATCAGCAGCATGTATAGTCTTTGTTATTGTTGTTTAGCTGGTTTTTAGTCATGTCTGACTCTTTACGATTCCATTTGGGATTTTCTTGGCAAAGACACTGGAGTGATTTGCCATTTCCTTCTTCAGCTCTTTTTATAGATGAGGAAACTGAGGCAAAAAGGGTGAAGAGACTTGCTCAGGGTCCCATGGCTAGTAAGTGTCTGAGGTCAGATTTCAACTTGCTCTATCCACTGTGCCGCCTAGCTGACCAAGAATGCATAAAGAGTCCCTTAAAGTTCGCAAAATGCTTTACAAATATTATCTCATTGGCTTCTCACAACAATCATAGGAAGTCGGTGCTCTGATTATCCTCATTTTACAGATGAGGAAACTGAGGCAGACAGAAATTGAGGGCTTTGTCCCAGAGTCCTGCAATGACTGAGGTATGATTCAAACTGAGGTCTTCTTATTTCCAAATCTAGCTTTCTATCCACTGCCCCCCCACCCCTGGACTGAATTCCCAGGTTACTTAATAGCATCTGTGTTGGAAGGGGGTGCCCTCACTGGTGAAATCACCAATCTCTGAAGAAGTCAGAAGGTACCATTCTGTTGCTACTTACTGCCTGAAAGCCCTGTGTAAATATGAGTTGTTATTATTACATCTACACACACACACACACACACACACACACACATATCAGAAGCTCACAGAAACCGCTAATTTGTTTCATGCCATTTATGTTGATTTAAAAAAATGCACGAAGCAGCCAGGTAGTACAGTGGATAGAGCACCAGTCCTGGAGTCAGGAAGACCTCAGTTCCAATCTGGCCTCAGACACTTGATACTTACTCGCTGTGTGACCCTGGGTAAGTCACTTAACCCTAATTGCTTTGCCAAAAAAAAATTGCCCCAGGAACTTAAAAATTGGATAAGTCATTTGGCAGAGAAGTCTGTGAGACTGTTGTGGTGCAGTGAGGACCTGGGTTTGAATCTGTTGCTTATTCTCTATATATCCTTTCGAAAAAATCACAGAAGTTAATTTGATACCTATTAGGGATCTATGGCCTCATAGATGTCACTGGGCCTTGGTGGGAAAGGAATCCCTTATTCAAAAGGGGAAAAAAAGGAGGGGAAGGAGTTAGCATGGTATATTAAGAAGGCATACTCGTATGGATGGAGAGCATGGTGAAAAAAAGTGGAAGCAGATATATAAATGATATTGTCAACAAAGTATACTACAGACCACTGGAACAGAAAGAGGATATAGATGAAGAGTTGGAGAAACATAACAAGCCTGCAACAGAGGCACCCTCTCCTTTCCTATCTCATCCATCTGTGTGGTTTTCCCTGTATTTCCTGGGAAATAGATTTCCTCTTCACAGGAGATGTCAAGTACTTCAATAGTATAAAATCAAACAGATCCAAATTCCCCCCAGATCCACAAGTAATACTGTCTTCTCTCTCTCTCACCTTTTCAGCCAGAGAATAATGATGAGTGTTTCATATGTATGGATGTAGGCGAGCTATTCTGCTGTGACTCATGCCCCAAATCCTTCCACAGGGACTGCCACATCCCCAGTGTTTCAACAGAGAGGTGAGATCAGACTCCAACACTCAGAGTGTCTGGATGGATGGGGAAGTGTGAGGTGGGAGCACTATAAGTTTCAAGCTTCCAAGGCGCTCGGCCATTTGTTAAAGCGACAACCCCCCCCTTTAGGTATTTCCTGAAATTGATGACCCTGTCCCCAGTTTCCCAGAGATGTAACTATGCTAGCCATCAGGAATAGTACAAGGACTCTTGTCTGCTGGGGAGGGGGTCCATATCAATGCACACAGCTCTGAGTTTGATCCATAGTTATTCAGGAAAAGTTGGGAGTACTAGGTTCTTACCTGTAACAATCATTGGAATGGGATGGTGGGGCCTAATGTGCCACATTTGGCCAACATCAGGACCCTGGCTCCATCAGGGCACCAATGCTGCCAGCCCCCAGGACTCAGGGAAAACTTACTCTTAGTCCCTTTAGAGAGAGAAGGAGGGGAGCAAGAGATGCCCACTGTGCCCTTAATATGAGTGATGGATACAGAATACATAGTCATAGACCCAGGGGCATGGTATAGCATCTACAAAGGTCCTCAGTCATACTGGAATAAGAAATGTTGAGTCAGGGAGTCAGGAGATTATGACTAACCTACCCAGGAGACTAAAAGCCCTCTCTCTCCTGTCTTGTTGTCTCCCCTATTTGATTGAGACTGAGCTTCTGGAGGTCAGGAGCTGTCTTTTGCCTCTCTTTGTATCCCTAGCACTTAGCACAGTGCCTGGCACATAGTAGGTGCTTAATAAATGTTTATTGACTGACTAATGGACTGTTTCTCTGACCTCTCAGTGCAGAGTGGAATTGCACCTTCTGCATAATAAGGAAGAATAAGGAAAAGGAAGGTCCAGAAAACAACCGCTGCCAGCAGGAGTTTGAGGTTTTAAAGAAGCGGGTGTACCCTGAGCAGCAGCTGGTGAGTTAGGATGCCATTTTTTGTGAAGGTCATGCCCTTTCTGATGGCACAGTGAGCACCACCTCTCTGCTGCCACCACTGTGTGCTTGTGTGTGCACGTGTGCGCGTGCACACACACACACACACACACACACAGACAGAGGCTGGTTGCTAGGAAAGTGATTGGAATGTTCCCATTTCACTTAGACCCCATGTCTTTAAGGGCAAAGGAGACTTTCAGCCCACTTTCTGCATCTTCCAAATGCCAATGATTCTTGTATTGTAGACAGAAAACGCCCCTCCACAATTACACTTTGGGATACCAGTCAATAAAAGGGTTCATTTTGGCCACTGTTGCAAGCCAAGGCAGAGAGAAGTATCATGAGGCAAGTGAAAGTCAGCATTCAAGCTCCTTTCCACAAGTGTACAGAGTTATGCTGGGGCCCCAGCCATTAAATCACTGGTCTTAGAGGTAGCCTCTTGAGGTTCCAAGCCAGGGGAAGAATACTTCCTAATCTGCTCACCTATTGTTGGCCTCAGGGTCCAAAATGGCCTCTTTCTTTTGGTCAGCCTGGTTTGGTAACTGGGGCAAATGAAGACAAAGAGGATACCCACTCATATGGAAATGGATGAGGCTTCATGTCCAGTGAAGTCACTCAGGTCAAGTAAGGGAACACCCAGGGGCTCCCACCCTCTGCTACCTCACTAGCACGTTCAGCCTGACAGTGAGTACATCAGGTCCTTCACTCTTTGGAGACACTAGGTGAGACCCCACTCCCCAGCTGGTCCGGCTTTATCTCATACACAAACTCCATCTTCTGCAGAAATGTGAGTTTCTCCTGATGAGAATGTACTGCTGCTCAGAAAGCTTCCTGTTTACGAAAGATCCATGCCGTGTAAGTAACAGTGATCCCGATAATGATCTTACCTCTGAGGGCCAATTTGTTAAACATTCATCAAACTCCTACTGTCTGCCAAGCTCTGTGCTGGGCACTGACCACCCAGGCAGTACAACAGAATGGGTACCCGGCAACCGGATGTGTCTGCCAATACCTTGGGTCCTCTGGATTCACTGGGACTGGAGTTCCCGATTGTTCCATCAGAAACTGATGGAAGCAGCTTCTGGATTGGAGCTGATGTCCTTTCCATGTCTTTGTCCACAGTATAAGGAGTATTCCCAGCGCGTCAGAGAACCCATGTGGCTGGACCAGGTGAAGGAGCGTCTGAGTGATGAAACTTACAACACAGTGGAGGGCTTTGTCCTGGATATGCGCCTGATTTTTTACAACTGCAAGAAATTTAACAAGGTGAGTGGCACTGCCTGCTTCCCAATGACCTGGCATCCCAATCCTGGCTCTAGATTCTGACTTCTCTGTACTGTGTCTGCCCTTCGGTTCCTATCATCTTCCCCTTCTGTGCTGTCTGCTTGCATAACTCAGTGCCCGGCTTGCCCTACCTTCCATATTGTGTCCTCTTGGTTGCTGCCTGGCTGCCCACCTCCTGGCCCACTGCTTACCTCACCTGGGTAGGGGGTGTCTACCTGTGGGATTGCACTGTGATTCCAGTGAACTCCAGCCATCCTTTACTAAAGAACCCTCAGCACACCAGGCTCTGGCTTGCCATCTTGTTCTGTCTTGGGCACCTGGGTAGTGCCTGCTCTGGGTGACTCTCTTGGCTCCCCAAGCCAAGCTGCTCCAAGGTCCTTGGTTTTTGGATTCTTCTTCCTAGACAGCCCTTTTCTAGGCTCATCCTCCTCACCTCCCACCACTTCAAATCCAGTGTTGTGGTCTGCCCGCTCACCTGACCTGGATCCCTGAGGCAGATGGAAAATTTCCCTCTGGAACCAAACCACTCATAGGAAGCTACAGGCCTGGGTAGGCCATGGTCATCAGAGGGTCATAGCCAGTGAACCAGAAGGATGTCATGGCCAGGAGCCTTAGAACTCTCCAGGAGGGAAGAACGGGCACTCTCTATGGGCCTGGAGGCACACAAAGTCTCATTAATTCTAATTATTATCATTGTGCTCATCCCTGAAGACAGAGGGGAAAAAAATCAAACTAGTCAGGCAAAATCCTGGATTTCTTCTACAACAGATGCAAGTGGTAGGAAATCCATCCAGACCACAGTATTCATTCATGTCTATGACAGGATAGAAAGGATTGATGGGTAAAACATTCACAATAATTCACAGAAAAGCGATCTGTTTGGGGTTGGCCATACCTGCCAGCTTTTTGGACAGCTGCCTCCAGACCTCAGTACACCCCTTGTTCCCTCTTCATTTTCTTCCTCCTCCCTAGCCCCCCGTAGTTGATGAAGTTCACCATTCCAGACAGGCACAGGGTACTGCCCTCACTGACTCCGGCTGTGCCCCAATCCTGGACAAGAGGGCTGGATCACTGCATGGAAGCCAGGATCCCTTATTCAATTTCTATCTTAAAATTTTAATTATTTTTCTATTAAAGAAGGATTTTCTTTCCTTTTCCATTGAGAAGGAGAGAAAGAAAGAAAGAAAGAAAGAAAGAAAGAAAGAAAGAAAGAAAGA